TGACCTTTTCTCCATCACATATGTGCTCCCACAGAACCACAGTGCAGGAACCATGAAGGAAATTAGTCCGCAATTACTTCTGAAGTGGATCAAGCTAACCGAGTAATCACACACAACAACGCGCTGTCCTCTCAATAAATAATTATTCTTGGTGCAGAAAAGAGATACAGAGGTTCATAAATGTAACCACCACCATTGTAGAGGCCCCTTAAAGCAGTGGTCACCAACCAGTAAATCGGAAACTACTGGTAGATTTTGGAGCCTGTGACAGGTGATCCTGACTGATTTGGGCAAGAGGCACTTCAGCTGCCCCTTTCTGTGCAGGGCCGGGAGAAGAAGGGCACTGATCTCAGGGTGCCCCCCTACCCCACTCTGTATCCTATCTCCACAGATCAGGACAGAGGGCACAACAGGACTTGGAATGGAGTTTGCTGATTGCTTTTGGGAGTGGTGCAGGGCCAGGCTGGGGTAAGCCTGCCTTAGCCCCACTGCACCACCACCCAGGAGCCACCTGAAGTAAGCTGTACCCAGTTGGTGCCTGCATCCCAAACTCCTAACCCAGTCATGAACCCCCCTCCTGCACTTCAAGCCCCTGCCCTAGCCACGAGCACACCTGCATCCAAATGCCATCCCAGAGCCTGCACCTAGAACCCCTCCAGCACCTCACTGCCTGATCCAAGCTCCGCTCAGAGCCCCTCATATACTCTAAATCCTTAACCCAAGACTAGAGCCTGCCACCCCAACCCTCTGCCCCCGCCTGGTGAAAGTGAGGGAGGATGGAGAAGAAGGGAGGAGGGGTGGAGGGGAATAAGCAGGGGTTGGGCCTTGGAGAAGGGGTAGGAAGGAGGATGGGCAAGGGTATTTGGGTTTGAGATAGATCTTGGATAGCACTGAAATTCAAAAAGTGATCTCGTGCTTAAAAAGGTTGGAGACTCTGCCTTAAAGCTTTCAAACGAGGGCATACTTGCACAGTATGCCCTAGAATGGATTATCCCATCCTTCTGGTGGAAAACCCCCCAAAATGTTCTAACACAGGGACTTCAGAGATCTCATACACCTAGATTCAAAGACTAACTTATCCGGTGGCTTTATCCCGTGGCTTTAGACCTTTAGATTTTAAGGCAAAAACTCATCCTACTTCATGCTCCAAAAAGGTTAGTGCTGTCGCTTTAAGCAGTAAAAAAAATATGCTTTTTTGTTTTGCTTTGTTCTTTTTGCAAGTCAAACATATAGACTAGCCTGTCTTGTGCAGCTATGTGGTTTTGAAAAGTTTACCAGAAATAATATTTGAAAGTAGTATCTGAGACTACCTTTGCTAAGCTTCTGCATGTGTCTCAGCCACCTTTCCTCGCAGAAGACTGCATTAAGTCAATCAGCCATCAGTCTTCAGTTTTCCGCCAAGATGATGGCTAACACGAGTCTTTTCATAAAAGGCAGAACAGAAAGCAAGACCAAGGGCCCTTCTATATGTCTGAGCAGCATCAATTCAAAGCCGTGTGTGACACCACATCCCCATATTGATGCACATAACAAAATTAATGAGTGGAGGAGGAGCTCAGGAGCTGGCTCAGGGCTGGGACAGAGAAGTTTGGGGTGAAGGAGAGTGCTCTGAGCACTCTCTCTCTTGCCCTCTCTCACACTCTCATATATATCTCACAGCAGCATCTGGATTGAGGGGGAGAGGCACCTACCTGCACCACACTGAAAAAGCTGCTGCACAATCATGCAGCTTACAGGGAACTTAAGCTTGGAGGGCTGATAGGAGGGAACAGAGAGCTCCCAAGAACTGCAAAATAAGAATTCCCTCTTGCAGGAAACATGGAAAACAGATATAGCATCTGGACAGACTTCTGCAATGAATTAGGTTACATGAAATTATAAATTCCTGAACTAAGCAAGAGAAAGATGTAGGCAAAGATGAGCATATCTTTTGAACTAGCTACTATTAGCAGCATTACATTTGATACTGAAAAATTTCCTTATTTGTTCTCATCCCATCAAAGAGTCAGTACACAGATTTAAGAGCATAAGTGATTAGAACTGATCAGAAATGTTGATGAAATGGTTTCTCCCATCAAAAAAGGCCAATTAGCTTAAACCAAAATGTTTGGTAGAAGCTTAACAGTTTTGTCTAAATTTTTAATCAGGAAAATTTCTGAATTTCAAGATGGAATTATTGTTATAAATATGAGTCTAACCACCACCTCAAAATAGATAATAACCTGGTACTACGAGCACTCATCAGGGACATCAGACATTCAGGTTCAAGTTCTTGTTAAGATGAATTCAAAGCGGGATTTGAACCTGGATCTTCTTCAGCCCTGCAGACTGGAGAGCCTAGTGGTTAGAATCAATTTCTCTCTTCCTACCTCCGTCTTTTTTTTTTTTTTGAAAGACATCAAAGGATCTTGGTTTCATCTCAATGCAAAAATGGGGAAATGTTTGAAATCTCAAGACGTTTTACAGAACCAGAAAAGTTTCCTGTCCAGCTCACCTAGAGACCTCGGTAGTCAGATGATAGGTATGAGGACGGGGAACCTTCCTTGAGCTCTTAGATTTGTGTGGATTCTCCACTCCAAAGAATTCTCCTCTCCATAGGCTGGAGTGGTGAGGAGACAGACATACACATACAAGCACATTTTTTCCCCTCCAGCTCTTTGTCAGCCAAGTTTCAGGCAGAGTAAGGAGCTGCTGATTTAAACTGGGCTAAATTTAGAATTTTTGGCAGTGGTATGTTTATTGCCACAAGAGCACTAATAGATCCTTATGTCAAGGGCCTTAGAAATGGGAGATGGAGGAGCAGTTTGCAACAGTTACTAGCAAAATAAATATTTTATCACTACCATTTTCATTACTTTATTCAAAGAAACACCATGGCAATGAAAAAAATACCAGAGCAAACACTCTCAATAAGTCACCTTGATACCAGATGTAATTTCAAATCCAAAAATTGAAAAAAATTCAACAGGGATGAAAGGTCAGAATGCTAAAGACAATGAATTAAGAGAATGTTTAGATAATTTGTAATAAAAATAACAATTTCAAATTTTTATTGCAGCTAATGCTGCAAATGATAAATCATATTAAACTTAGCAGTTCCACTACCAAAAAGTCATAGGATTTAGGCATTAGTTTTGAAGTTGAACTAAAACAAATTTAGTGAAGTGAGTTTGTGGAAAAACTATATAATCCACCTTCTATTTTGTCATGTTAATAAAATCTAGAAAACTATCATTGCATCTGCAGTAAGGAAGACTGACCATCCAAAGATCAGGGCAGGAGGAGCATGTATATGCACCCTGGTGAGTGGAGCCACACTACTTTCACTCAGCCTCCCAGAAATCAAGGTAGGAGGACTGTAAGCATAAAGGCTGAAGCTGGGGGTTCAGTTAAAGCCCATTCACTGGAGGGGACGGATGCTTTCCCTGAGCTCCTGTACTGGAAGGTTGCAGTGGGCCCATAGAAAGCAGACAACTGACCAAGACTGCCCAGATCATGAGCTGACTCAAGGAAGTAGACAACTGGCTTGGACTCCTGAATGACCTGACCCTGCAGGATGCAGATGACTGGTCCAGACCACTGTCTGACCTAACCCAAGAACAGCAATTACTGGTAACTGAGGCCCCCACCAACCAGCTTCTCTCTCTGGCAATGTTCTCTCTAATATTTTCTGTGCACATGTGAATTTTTTCCATTAGTGTGTGGGAATACTTTTTTTATGTGCACTGAGACATGTGTGGATGTGCACCCCCAATAGAAACAAAAAACGTAGCTGTTGTCACTCTGCTAATCAGGTGGGCACAATTTGAATCTCTCCTGAGTGGTTGCACAACTGCACAGATTACAGGGAACACTGCTCTCTGGACCTACAGGTACAGTAGGAGGGGGAGTGTGGAAGAGGCCCAGGGATGCAGTGACGTAGCGAGGGGATGAGGGGCAGTTGCCCCCAGGCACCATGCTGGAGGGGGCGCCAATTTAGCTGCCAAAAGATATGTTGTTAACTTTTTTATGATCATTTCCTATTCTGTATATAGTCCAACAGTTGACTGTGAAAAGGTTTCAGCAAAACCTTCAAAAAGTAAATAGGATGATAGTTATGTTACACTGCAAGCATTGAGGTTATATGGCATGCGTTTAGTGAGCATGGTGGCAGGAATAATCTCTACCCAATCACCTCAGTTCGCATGTATTTGGGAGTATCCTGGCAGGGAAAAAATGATTGGGAAGGGTGCAAATTTTGTCTTTGCCCCCAGGCGCAAATTTTGCCTTTGCCCTCAGACGCATAACACCCTCGCTATGCCATTGCAGGGATGGTAGCCACTTGTTTTGCAACATTGCTGAGAAAGGGTGACTCAGCATGATGCAGCCCGGATCCCCACTGACTTGGTGGCAGACTACTCTGCCTCTGTTTGAGCTCAGGGCTGGGACGCAGTGGAGTGAGGGCTCCTGCGTTCCCCCTGCCACCCAACTCATGTGGATGGGCAGTCTCCCCCTTCCTCAGGCCATTTGAAGGGAAGTCTGAGCTGACTGACTCTTTGCTGCATAGCTCTGAACCAGAGACTGAGATAATTCACTGCCTACAGCTCTGCCTGAGTACAGGCCTGAGCCCTAAGCTCCTTTGCTGCTCTGCATTGAGCTAGGATTTGGGCAGATTGACTATTTATTGCTCAGCCTTACCGCAGGCCTGAACGCCTCGACTCTTTGCTGCCCCAGCATGAGTAGGGGCTGGGACTCCATGATGGTGTTGACTGTGTAGCCCTGACCAGAGACCCACACTCGTGGCTCCAGTTGCCCTACTGATGTCCCACATCCAGTGACCAATAGTGACATAATGAGGCAGACTGGCTGCTCACAGGAGGGGCAGAGGTCACACCTCTGATTGATTATAGCATCCTAAAAAATTAAGAGATCTATACATACACTAAGCTGAAATACGATACTTTGATACATTTTAATATACACTGGCAATAGACTGGAAACAATAATACAAATTTACAAACCTTGTAAGTATTTAGGCTCCATTTTCTCACAAGTTCCAATTTTTCCATTGCTGGATTCTTTACTTCGTCCGCTAGAACAACTGGTCCACTTTTCTGCTGCATTCTCACACTACCTAAACAAATAAGACAGAGGAAAATCTTTAGGGTCCATATTTTTCAAAAGTCAAGTATATAATTGCATATACAAAGGATCATGAAATGGCACTTACGTAAAAGCAAATTATGCATCTAACTAGATTTTCTGTAAATGACTGTACTAAGCAAAAAAAATGAAAAAAGAGCACAAAACTGCTTTTTAGAAAACAATCAGGCCCACAAGGACACATGCCAATATTGTCTTCCCTTTATTGTAAGTGAATAATTTAGTTAAACTAACTAAATTGAGTAATCCGATATGATAAAGTTACTTGGCTGTTTCTGTATAGAATTTTGACTACTAGCAGCAAGTAATTCAGATATTTGTTTCATTATTTAAACTGTTTTAAAACAGCAAATAGGCAAACTCTACAGTCCAACATTCTGTTGGAATTAGCCAACCTAAAAAACTTTTATATGCTACAAGTCACTGTTAATAAGTTACAGAAATATACAAAATACAACCAAACCGCTGCCAAGTACAGGCAACTTAAGATATACACTAGTGTCAAAACAATATTTGTTAACATAAGAGTAAGAAATTCACATTGTTCTAGATTGTGCTGCTGTTAATTTTCACTAAGCATGTTGAGGCTAACAGAAGAATCTTAACTCTCTCTTACAAAAAAGTTAGTGTACTTGATAGCTTTATTAGGCCCTCAATCACAGAAACAGTGGAACTTATTAGTCCTCATTCAAAAATTGGCAAGGAAGAAACGCAATGATACAGTATAAAGGGTAACCATCAGAACACTATATTCAGTCCCAATTTTTTGCAGTTACCAGTCAGTATGAAATGTTACTCAAATTACACATTTTGAATAAAAAAGTTGATTCCCAATTTGTAAAAAATGTTGCTGCCATTTTGATGGCAGTATTTCCCATTGCCATACATGCACTGATCACCCAACTTATGCTACATGCTCTTTAGCTTTATACACATTAGCGATGTAAAGGGTTAACCAGTTACCTGCTAAGCATCACCTTTATTGGGTGATGCTTATGGGTAACCGTAACCAGCAGCTGAGCCCGCCATGCCTAGCCAAGCTGGAGCAGCCTCCCATCTGCACTGTCTATAGTATACACAGTACCTTTAAACAGAACAGCAAAATACATCTCCTGTCACCAAACGCAAGATGGAGTTAGTACAGAAATGTTTTTCTTCATGCTTTTAGGAAGTATTTTAGACATAGCTTAGATTTTTAACTCTGCCATTTAAAAAAAAAAAAAAAGGTATTTGACAGTGCCCCGTTCCCTCTTTTAGTAGAAAAAAGCAAGTTATGTAAGAAAATTTATTCATTAGGCTTTTGAATAGCATTCCAGACTGAAAAACTAAGTTATTAGCAGAAGACCCATAGGCATATTCAGAAGGCTTATTTAAAACGGAGAGAGAAAGAGAGGACTATCCCTGCATCTGCCACATTTTGTATAATGCAGAACACTGTATAATCACCCTAACCTTGCCAGATTATTTGTGAATAAGCGTTTGTAAAAACAGACTCCTGCATGTGTCTCCAGACATTCTTTTACAGCACTAAACACGGGTTTTACCTCTTAAAATAAAATAAACATTGTATAAAATTGAAGTGATTTATCCTCACAGTACCTTGCTGAGATAGCAAAGTATTCTCCCCATTTTAAAGGGGAAGAAACAGACACAAAGAGGTAAAGTAATTTGACTAAAGCCACAAAGGCAGAAGATGGCAAAGTGCAGTTTTGGTGTTTTGAACTCCAAAATCCATTCTCATAAGTGAAGTATTAGAATAATGCTCTTGTTTGGCTGGCAATGAGAATAAAAGCTTATACCATGACCTAGAGCACTTTTAAAATATCATATGTTTTTATGAAGTTGCATAGATTATACTTAATGCTTTGGAGCAGGAAAAGTTGTTCAGAAGGAAAAGCATAGGTTACTTTGCAAACTGCTGAATCCTTGAAGTGACAGAACCGCCAAAAAAAAGCAGAAATTACATACTTACCCAGTTAAAAAAAAGTCAAATTATTACAGAGAATATGAGTTAGTGTAACTAAAGAAGGTGTTAGTATAAGTTGTATAACTAACAAAGATGTTATCCAGTCAGGATTGTGAATACCTGTGGGAATAATTAAATCACTTCCCTGTCCAGCCAGTCTGCTAGCTGCTGCATTGCTAGGAGATATAATAGATGATATGGGTGATGCTGAGGAACCTGAAAAGGGGACACATTTAACCATGAAAATTCATCATCTTCTTTCCTCAGAAAACGTGTACTGTTATGTATAGACATAGCTTTTAATATTGGAGATATACCAGATCATCAACACAAAACTAGAATAAGTATCTGAAATAATTCAGAGACTTCTAGTATAGGTTGGACCTCCCTGGTCTTGCATCCTTGAGATCTGACTGGGACTGAATCAGGGAATTTGCTGGACCAGGGAAGGTTCCTTGCCACAGCCTCTCAGACAGCTCTGGAGAGCCCTCCTCACTACTCCCAGCTCCTGCCAGCCCTGCTGCCTGTGGGCTCCAGCCCTCACTGTCGTGGCCTGCCACAGGCTCTGGCTCCAGGCTGCACTGCTGCAAGTCCACCCTTGGCTCCGCTACTGGGGGCTGCTGCCAGCTCAGGCTGGTGGGGGCTGGGTCTGATCCCGGCTTAAATTCCAGCCCCACGGCGGCCCGCAGGCTCTGGCCCCACACTCCCACCGACTGCCCGAGGCTCTGGCCCCAGCTCCATACTGCCACAGACTTCTGGGTCTGCCACCAACCCCAGCCCCAGTCCCATTGCCCCAAGCTGCCAGCAGTTTGATCTCCTGCCCTGTGGCAATGTGCAGGCTCTGGCCCCACTCCTGTGGGCTGCCCGGGGCTCTAGCACTGGCCCCGCACTACCATGGGCTGGAGGCTGCCTGGTCCTGCGCTGCAGATGCTGCCCTGGACTCAGTGTCAGTTTCACAGGCTGCAGGGGCTAATGTTGGCTCCAGCCCCACTGCTGCAGGTTTCTCAGGGTTGCCATCAGCCCCAACCCCTGCCCCGTCCTGCTGCTTCAACCTGACCCCACTTCTGGATAGCTGGCCTGCCACAAGGCCACCAGGCTTTCCGATTCAGAAAATCCGTGGTAGTGCCGGACCATGGATGTTGCCAGACTAGAGATTTTCAGTTTTGAGAGATGCAACCTGTAGTGATATAATTTAAAAGATACAGCTATTAATATGAACTCCTCAAAGTTATACTCCTGACTTAATCATGTGTTCTCTTTAAAAGAAATTGGCTTTATGACGGGAGGTATTCAACCAAAATGCCAGATATAGGGGGCAGGACAAAATGACTTTTATACTGTTCAATATGGCTGCTTTTCAACTGAAATCTTGATTTTTCTCATCTAAGTAAAAGTCACTATAGGTTGAACCTCTCTAGTCTGGCACTTTCTGGTCTGGCAAAATCCATGATTTGGCATTATTTTAATTAGCTGGATGTCCACTTATCATGGGTGTGGCCAAGTTTCCCATAGTCCCATAAAGTTTGTTTACAGCCACCAGTCCTAATTCTATGCTGCTATTTACTCTAATTTACCCCTAAAATGTCTTCTCTGAAGTAGAAGTATTGGTAATGTTGAAAGACAATACAGGTTGAACCTCCCAAATCTGGGACTCTCTGGTCTGACAACATCCAAAGCCCGGCAGGGCCACGGATGTTGCTTGACCAAAGAGCACAGGAAGCAGCAGAGAAAGACAACATGAGAGCTGGGGAGCTCAGACTGTGCCAGACAGCAGGTTGGGAGCCCCTGACCTGGTTGGGGAACTTCTGATGTCAAAGGAGCCAGGCGTGGCTAGGGAGCCCCCACCCCGGTAGGGCAATCCTCAGTATCAGCTAGGCCAGGTGGTGCGGGAACCCTGGCCCCAGCCAAAGGCTCGGCCAGGGAACCTCCAGCAACAGCAGGGCCAGCAGCAGCCAGGCAGCCCCTGTTGGAACCCCTGGAAACCCTGGGGGTAGCAGGGCCAGAGTGACTGGGCAGCGCCAGCCGAGAACATCCTGGCTGAAACTGGGCTAGTGGAGGATGACAGGAGTGATTCCCTGGAGGCCCCTTCCGGGGAACCCGGGGGAACACCCTGTTGCAGTGAGTTTGCAGGGGCAGGTGGTCCCAGCTGCGAGCCTCAGGGGACTCTGAGGCAGCCTGTGGGCAACAGCATGAGGAGCCCCTACTAGGCCAGCATTAGGGGGGAAGGGCAGGGCACCCCAAGGAGAAAAGCCCAGGAGCAGCCAGCTAGCAGGGGAGCACTGACTTCCCTGGTTTGAGACAGTTCAGGTACTAAGGGTGCCAGACCAGGAAGGCCCAACCTGTATTAACCTCCAGTGGTTCGGCTAAATCTCTGGTTCAACATTGACTAGATCCCAAAGGTGCTGAAATAGAGAGATTCAACCTGTATCATTATAATGCAATACTTATAACATTGAGGACTGATACTTGGACTCTGGATTCAGTTTCAATTTAAGATAAGTGGCTACAGGAACAGATTTTAATGACATGAGTAGCTATGTGTCTATAATATGCAGTAATAATGCCTGAGTATCTGAGATCAAGATTGAGCCATTGGGTTGTTTAAAATGTTAGCCCGCATGGCTCTTTGTCAAGAAAAAAAAAAAGGCCTACTAAAAACATTAATTCTATTAAAAATATTCAATTATGGGCATCGTCATGTTAACAGTAAAGTGCTGTGCTCTCAAAGCAATTATATGTATTGAAACAAGTCATACAGCCCTTGGCTGTATCATCTTCCACATCAAGTAACCATATAAGAAAAAAGACAATTTAATTGTACAAAAGCAATCATGAAAAACTCATTTTATTTGCACAGGACAAAATACTTGTTTTGATGAGTGACTAAAATTAGGATTCTCCCTCCACCCCCATAATCAATCATCATGGTATTGCAAGTCAATTTTGTGTCTGGGCACGTTTATTTTCACAACATTTTTTCAAGGCAGTGGGTCAGTGTATCCTTAGAAATCACGTACACTTTAATGGCTTCTACAAAGTTATATTTTATTCATTCACTAACATCCCGCAAGAACTTTTTAAATAACTGAAGCAATAATTAGCATATGTCCCTGTAGCATGGAAAATCTGTACACCCTCATTATTCCAATTGTAAGTCTAAAGTATAAATTTTTTAGCAACATCATTAATCTGCACAAAGTTAAGGCTGGAAGACATTTATTTAACCTGCCCTATCTTGTTACAATATGGTGATACATTATGTAAAAGCTGTAGTACCTTAGAAACCCAAGTCCCCAATCCTGCAACTGGATTAATGCAGGCATAAAAGATCTGTCCACAAAGATCCTATTACAGGAGCACTGGCTAATCATGGAATGTAAGCAAGCTAAAAACAACTAAGTTATCTTGGCTTCTAGCACAGAGTATCCAACGTTGCTTACACTTCATTGTTCACAATACTCTTCAATCCTTCCATCCCTGCTAATATTGCTTTCCCTTCCTCCTCCAGTGTTTCCTCGTTATATAGTCTAATGAACAGAAATCAAAGTTACATCTACAACTGCAAAAATTCACTCTCTCAGCTGCTCACTCAATAGTCAAATTCTCTAAATTCATGGTCTTATTTTATCTGGAGCAAAACCATATATAATTAACTTTTCATTCATATCCTGTTTCCTGTGCTCTTTATTATTTTCAGATAGTATATTAATTACTGGCTTGTTTAATAACTTTGCATTTCTCAAGGTTAGCTTTTAAACAAATCTATTCAAATTAAAGAACCCTGCAACTCTATGCTGAGCAAGGAAAATGGTGGAGCCATCTTCAATATGACCCAATTTTGACAGTAGTTTTAGGACTGATTCTTATGATTAGTGTTTAAAAACCTTTACAACATATATAATGCATCAAATAAACAGGAAACACATTAAGACTCATTGGAATATCTACTACAGAGGTGGGGAAAGAATTTCATTAATTCTATTTGCTTTAGAAAAGTAAAGTGGAATTATAGTTCAAATCAGTCCCACAATCAAATATGTTTACAACTTGAACACCACATTTAACGTAGTTCTAATTACATACAGAGTTTTTACTATAATAGCCTCAATTTTCCCTTCTTAATATAGCAGTTATGAATATGTCCATTGACTAGCATACATACATTTGTAACAAGAATTCTTTTATTAAGAAGTTCAACAATATTATAGAAAAGGAACTATTCAAATTAACAGCAGGCTAGTTAAAAAGTTACCTAATTTGCTAGGAGTTTTCATTAACACCCCGTGACAAGTGGATATCATTTTCTTATTTTAGCAACCCAGCTACTGTGGCAAACACACATTTCACACCTCAGGTATTCATAACATATCAGAATAATTACTATTTATGCTGAAATGTAAAGCAAGTACAGAGTTTGAAAAAAAAATTTGGTACTTCATAGCTGTCTTAAGAGACTATTCCTTTAAAAAAATGCCTAAATCAGGTATAGTGTTGAAATTTAAAAAGCATGTAGACACACAAATAGTTTTTACCTTGAAATGGCCCTGCTTCAATGATTCCCTCTTTGTTGCTGTCAAAGCCATGAGATGTTATTTGGGTTTCCGAGAGACCAAGTCCAACTGGTAACGAACGTTTCAAATCCTTGGAAATATTTGAATAAAAGGGAAAATCCATATAAAAATCTACATAAGGAAACTTTTAGGCACTATAATATCTTTTCAAGTGCATCTTAAACAATTCTGTCTATAGTTTGGAACTTGTGTTATGGTGTCATGGCATTCTATTGTGATGTATTAGTAAGAAACTTTTTCAATACAAGACCTTGTTTTACAACATATGCTAAAGAAAACAGTTTGTATGTTCATTTTAAGAAGTATTAATTTGGTAAATATATGAAAAAATGGAAACAAAATGAAAAACAAAAGAAAAAACTTTTCCTTCCCTGATCAATGTCCTTACAGAAGAAAACATAAAAAAGTAAGTTCCAGGTTTTTTTTTAAATGGTTGAGTGCAAGATTAACACCTAGAAACTAAATAATTAATAGTAATTGATAATAGTTGAAAATTTTCCTGTTTTCCCAGTCTTCACTTAGATCTATACATTTTTCTGGATTGTGCATCGTTGCACTTGTTCTGTAAAGTGCCAAACATACAATGAAGCCATATAATATATAGCAGTTTTTACTCTAAGCAGAAGGGGGGAGGGATAGCTCAGTGGTTTGAGCATTGGCCTGCTAAACCCAGGGTGGTGAGTTCAATCCTTGTGGAGGCCACTTAGGGATTTGGGGCAAAAATTCATCAGGGATGGTACTTGGTCCTGTTGAGAAGGCAGGGGACTGGACTAGATGACCTTTCAAGGTCCCTTCCAGTTCTAGGAGATAGGTAATCTCCATTATAAAAACCCTAATAAAATCCTTAAAGCTGGTCTGAAGTAGGAAATTTAGTATTATCCATGTTAACAAATAGGGAAACTAAGGCAAAAAGATAAGGATACTTCCCCAAGGCTATATAGTAAGTAAAATCATCATTAGAATATAGAATATCTTCCAACCTCACATTTCCCAGTTACGCACTACGTACAAATCAAAGTATTAAAAACAACAAGTAGAAGGCACAGTGTAATAATTCCATCATATAAGTAATCTATAAGTAGATTACATAATCAGAAAACCTTATTGCTGACATAAAATTCTGATGTTTTTCTGATCTTAGCAAGGTGAAAAAAAATAGATCATAAAGCAACAGATGAGCAATATCTGAATTATGCAGAGAAAAATTTCTTCAAGATGCTATTGTGGGGCATATACCATAACTACTTCTATTAAAAGTATTAACACTGAACACTAAGAATTTATTATCTTTAAAACCCAAATTATGTTTTTTAATATTTTACACTAGTCAATCTGCAAGTCCATGGAAATTGATTCACAGGTATGATATTACTTAAAGGCCAAATCTGGCAGTTAGAATGCGGCTCTAGATAATTCCCTGCAGTATAAACCAACTATCAGAAAAAAAGAAAAGGGAAACCTAAAAAAAACCAAAACCACATACAAACTCCAGAGTAGTAATAAAGTATCCTTAGAAGAAGAGAGACTATTCTTTCATTAAACAAACCAGAAACCCTGATTATTATGTTATTTATAAAAAAAACCAAACAACAATGTGAATAATTTAACTGCAGTACTAAAGAAGGAAAATAAGTACAGCAGACTTCCGATAATCCGGCACCTTTGGGACACAGGGGGTGCCAGATTATCAGATATGCCGGAGTATCGGAGGTACTCCGGCAGGGGGGCTGTGACAGGTCTGGGGAGGGGGGAGGGGAATGGCACAGTGTGGGGCGAACCAGGTGCTGGTGAGGAGCAGCGCTGCAGGACCAACCTGGCAGCACCCCAGTTGCTCTGCCCCACAGCTTCCCCAAGTCCGCCGCTGGTCAGTTTCAGCAGCAGCAGCAGCGGACTTGAGGAAGCGGTGCGGAGCAGCTCCAATTGTCCGGCTGGCTGGAGCACTTCTGGGTTCCAGTTGGTGCTGGACTATTGAGAGTGCCAGACCACTGGATGCCAGACAATTGCAGTTTTACTGTAGCATCTTCATCATAGACTGCTTCTTAGGGCATGTTTACACATACAGTGTTGCAGAGGCACAGATGCATCAATTCAGCTGCATCACTGCAGCATGTCTGGTGAAGATGTTTTATATCAATGGAAAGTTCTCCCATGGGCACAATAAAAACACTTCTGCTAGTGGCAAAAGCTATGTTGATGTGAGAAGCTAGGCTACATCAGCACTTAGGTCAGGGTAATTTGTCTCTTACTGCTGAACAACAAATTCTGTAGATACAGCCTACATATGGACACTAGGCTCCTACTATAAGCCTTTGTATTTTAAGCTGAATTTCTAAAGGCTCTCAACTCCAGCCCTCGCCACACCATCTGCCCCATTCTACACACAAAGATGTGGAAGCCAAACCACTGCTTTGGGTACCTAATTAACTAGGGTGCCTACTAGAGCTGCAATTACTTCCTGTGAATGTTATACAGTATACTGAAATAAACTTAGTATACAGACATATATTCAGTGTAAAGGCTATACAGTATTTCAGAGCTACTCAACTTTGGAAGCCTCGGGGCTCACAATGATACTCACAGCACATGCTGAGGGCCGCAACTTAAGTGTGGTTGTACATCCATGCAAATATACATGCAAATATAGGTAAATAACTTCTTTGATGCTGATGGGCATGAATACAAAGATTAAGGCAAGACTACACAATACGCAGGCCCCATTAAGTCAGTTATATTTCCACCCATAAGACAGCATTTTAAACAAGCAATGCCAGTCCAGGAATTTAACTACTAAAATGCATATCAACAGAAGACCGTTATATGAGTGTTCCCACCTACAGCAGGTGGGGAGCAGAGTGAGTCAGACTGGATACTAGAAGCAAAAAAGGACAGGTGCCCAGGAGCTTCGTCCTGGATTCCCAGCAGGGCTGACATCCCCATGAGGGAGTCCATCTTTCCATGCGAGATAGAGGCAGGGCTGCCCGGACACGCCACTGGACCCAAACGTGGCCAGTGTAAGCTAGTCGGCACCTCTCAGGCTCTGCCCACAAGACTAAGCAGCCAGTACTTTTCACAATGCTCTGGTGCTCCCAGCACCTCTTCCCTGGAGGATAGAAATTCCAACACCCTGAACCCATCTGTTCCAGCCATCCTGTCCACTTACATTTTTTAGTGCTCACCCTGCCTGGGAGATGCCTGGGAGAGTGTATTCCCAGTGGAGGCCATGTTCAAAGGATCCCACCTGTGGGCTGAGTGTTGAACCCCCGTGTAAACCCAAAACGCACCACGGGCTGTAAGCAAATGGGCCGCAGGCCATATGTTGAGTAGCTCTGCAGTATTTGATTGTAAATCAACATGTCTTAATGGCAATACTAATGAATGGCAATCAACTTTTATAAAGAAAAATAACTAAAATGTATTAGTATTAACAGAAGAATAAAATCAATTATATCAGTGTTCATGCTTGCCAAATTAAATCATGATTAAAATTGGTGATTTAAAAATCAGTCATCTCTTACTGGAGGGTGGGTTTTTTTTTTGTGTGTCGTTTAAATAAACTGAAGAGGTGTTTATACTGGACATACGAGTTCTTGCACAAAAACATGGGTTTGGTTTTTGGCATATAATCTCAAGCAGCTAATTATGATTTATTGCACTCACTCCTAAACAGGAAGGCTGCCAACAACCATAATGGTCTTGATGAACAGATTTATCACTGACAATTAATATAGAAAAAATTGAGATAACATGGAGAAAAACTGGAAAAAATGAGAGGCATAGTATGTACATTCCTATTTACAACAGTAGAGAAATGATATGCAGGCTATATGAGATGCATTTATGAAGGGTGCAGGAGCAAAGTAAGTAGCACTGATATGCATTCTGTCAGAAGCTTATTACTTGGTACAATTAGGGCAATGGTAAGGAAATAACCTAATTTTAAAAGAAAGTTATTATGCTTTGTTTCGAGTTTTTTGTTACTCCTGGGACAGATCATTGGACTACAAAAGAACTACTACCAACTTCATGCAGTGGACCTTCTGTTTCACAGACTCTTAGGTCTGGGTCATGTAGTCCAGTCTCCAGCACTTATGGAAGAACCAAATATTATCGAGTGGTTCAATCCTGACAAGTGACCCCAAAACAGTATTTTGGAATCTGCTGCATTTCTCTCTAGCGCTTCACCGGTACTGCTGCACAGCTTTAGCACTTACTGAAGGTGCTACCTACCTATTCAGATAGGATTTTCCAAGTTATAAGGATCTAAAAAATACAAAAAGGTACCTAGTGGGATTGCTGGGAGTGCCTAACCTTAGGTACTCTTAAAAGTCCCATCAGGCATCATTAGGTGCCTAAGAATATTGTAAATCTGACCCCACATCCTTTCAAGTTTTTAGAATGACTAGAGCTCATTCTCTTCCACCTGATTATTATTTATCGATTGGAAGAAGAAACCAAGCAGCCATGCTTTTTTCAACTCCCAATTTGCTTTTCAAATTTGCATGAACTAGTCCAAATGAGGAAACTACTCTCTGCACTGAAACCAAAAATAATTAAGGCAAGAGCTTTCTGTACAACTGAAACTACTGATAATTGCTGAAAAGTAAGTACTGGCATTTTCTTCATATTAAACTGAAAGTAATAAATGCTTAATTAATGAAGAACATGATTTTTGGAATAATTAATCAGCTTGAGTTGGTTAGAAAAGTCAGATTTTCTCCCCCCATACTGGTTCTGTACAGTAATCAATAGTGCCAATGTGAAGACCCATGATAAATCATCAGACAGTATACTCCAAAATATAGAATATCGACACCACCAGCACTGAGAAAGCAACATGGGTCACTAAGGAACATGATCCCCCAGGCTTTGAAGATTCACTTGTTGCAATGCAGTCTCAAAAAAACCTGTTTCGACAAGTTAGCATGAGAACTCTTGCTGCTTCTTGGTTAGTATCAGAGACTGCAGTCAGTCTGGAGTCCCATATGCAAAAGAGAAGTTACTCACTTTGTGCAGTAACAACAGTTCTTCGAAAGGTATGTCCCCATGGGTACTCCACTGTTGGGGACTACA